TCTTCTCAGTCACAGCCTCCTCACTGTCCAGATCCATCACCACCACCTATCTGGCCTCCACCAGCTTGTTGGCACCACAAGTCCTGTGATGTCCCGTCATGAAGGACCTGAGCCTCCTGAGAAAAAGAACAGCCTGTTCTGTCCTTTCCTATAGAGGGCTTCAGTGTCAGCACATACTGCTCAAGAGTTGATGGACCTGATCGTCCTTTCTTCCGTTTTGATAAAGAAAATATGTACTTTTATTGTTGATATACACCAAAATTCAGAGTCTTGATTACTTGTATGTCTGAGGGACAGTCTTATTAGTTTGGCTAGTGTTTGGTTGGATGGCTGCACTCCGTAGAAAGCGTCATATAGTACAGGTATGTTTTAGCTCAGAAATGAGAATCCTCTGCTATTTTGTTAATCTGGTGCAAGGAGAGCATTCAAGCAGAGAGCAGAGCAGTCTCCTCTGGGTGTGTGTGCATAAATATACATTTGTGGTGTCTGTTTATGGGAGGTTTGTGTAGGATTCTTTATGAATACACAAGTATGCATGCACGTGCCTGTTGGCATGTGTGTTTGGACGCTTGCTCAGAGTGTGTTTGCTCGTGCCATTGTTGCGTGTGCGCTGGCAGCTGTAATGTGTTATGCCAGCTGAGGTGTAAATGTTGAGGTGTGAGTGTATTATCAGCTTGGCTGAGCTGAGCCACTGCTTTCAGGCCTTAGCTTCTCAACTGCTCATTAGCATAGTGACCACATGAAAGAGCTGCGTCAGTCCCCTGACACACACACACTCACACATGTATAAGAAGTTTGAGGGACACCACAGGCCTTCTTCTGAGGAACAGCCATTAAAAACAGAATTGGAAATGTACTGCGTCTGACTGCTGTGTGCATTGGGTGTCTGTGTGCATCTGTGTGCACAGTTTTGTGCGTGCATGCGTGGGTGTGTTTGTCATATGTTTTTAAAGAAAAAGCAATGGAGGAATGTTTTTCTACTTCTCAGTTCATTATAATACAGTGTCTCCCTCTCTGTCTCTCTGTGTCTTTTTCTCTCCACCACCAGGTCATCACACTGGAAGGATGGGTAGATATCATGTACTATGTCATGGATGCTCACTCCTTCTACAATTTTATATATTTTATACTGCTCATTATCGTAAGTACCTCCTTGTATTTTTGCTTTAATTAATCTTTCCTGATATTTGAATGTGTTACTAGGACTCAAAAAGCAAGCACCAAAATAGCCGCAAAACACACATTTCTTTAATCCTGCCCTGCTTCGTATGCTCTACACAGACTGCAGTCTGTGGTTTGACTGCTCAACAGATATGCATATGTATGATGTGTTGCTCCTGAAAGATATTTTTGTGTACTTGAATTTCAGTCCTGCTTTGGAAAACCCGGAATAACCTTTCTAAAGTAAACCACTGAACTCTGCTTGAAGAATAACTGCCTGAACCTCGCAGACTTCTTATTGTGTATAATTTCACTCTTATTATGCTGGGTTTTCAAAGGCCCTAGCTTCGGCTATCTTTTACAGTGCTGTATGAGCTCCCTGCCTGTTGTTTGATGTAGAAGTGCTTATTATGTTTTCAGTGGGAGAGAGAAAAAAATTGGGAAAGGAGAAGAAAGGGTGAGAGAGAGAAGGAACAGGAGGAAAGGCTGAAAGAAAAACAAAATTATTCGTATAAAAAGTGAATGAGACAGAAATTGAGAATAAAAAGAAAAGATGGAGAAAGTGCTCATTTAGTTTCCTCTCACTCTTTCAGTAACACACAGTAATGGCATGTTAAATAGACATTTCTTTATAGACTTGACAGATATTTCTAACTTCCTGCCAAGGCCACCTCATCAAAGCAGGATTTAAATCAGAATTTGTAAGTAATGATAAAAACAGAGTCAGTTTTATCATCCGAGGATCTGACCAAACTGGCTGCATCTTAATAATATATAACACCTAATACAGCTTCTTGTTGACCCAATGTTTTATTACACTCTTAACACATTGAGGTGGGATGAAGAGGGATAAAATATTGATGAAGTAGCCACAGTGTTGATTTTCTGTCTTAACAGCAAGGTGAACGATTTCACTTGTGCATAACAGACAAGGTTTGTGGAATGACTGTTAACACAACTGCTCCTCCAGTGTATCATTATAAAGCTGCCATTTGTCACTCTAGCTGTCCTTTACCTCCCCAACCAGGTGGGCTCTTTCTTCATGATCAACTTGTGCCTCGTGGTCATCGCCACCCAGTTTTCCGAGACAAAGCAACGGGAGAATGCCCTGATGAGGGAGCAGCGCGCTCGCTACATGTCCAACGACTCCACACTCGCCAGTTACAGCGAACCGGGCTCATGCTACGAGGAGATGCTACGCTACATCAGTCACCTTTATCGAAAACTAACACGCAGGCTGCAGAGGATATACTCTGGATGGCACAGGTTAGATATGACTTTTTTTGTCCAGGGATATCCTGTCAAATATCGATGACATTAAATTAAGTCAACATATTACCAAGGCCTACAAAGACTTAGGATTTATCTGTAGACATAACATTTTGCAATATTGTTCAGTAATAAAACAACAACCAAACGCATTAGTCCCTGAGATGTTAAACATTTAGGACCTGTGTTGGATTCATTCCACTCATGCTTGAAGATTTTCTGTAATATAATGAGGATGAAAATATCTGGAAATATTCCCTTTATTGAGATTATAATCACACATTTCCCCCAAGTTAAATTAATCATGGCGATCCCTAGAAGTTCATATTCTTCACTGGTCCTCCTGTGTCTATTTGCAACACTGTATGAGTCATTTGGGGAAACTAAAATGTGTTTTGTTACGAGCACTTAATAATGGTGTGAGTGTGCTTTGGTAATTTTGGATCACACAGAATTACATTGCACACAGCCCCCAAAATTGTTGTTAGGGATGCATCTTTATATAAACCTGGCAACAATACCTTCTCTATCCATTTCAGTTATTTATCATTGTTCATGTCTCTGGTCCTTTCAGTAAAAGGCGTAAAAAGGTGAATCCTAATGGCAGTGGGGGAGGCAGCAACGGAGGGGGTAATGGACATGGCCACGGTTCCAGCAGGGCCTGCGGAGGCTTAGGCCCGGGTAGCGCATTGTGGTTGAGACCGATCCATAACCTCCTGCAGCACCATCAGCACCAGCACTGTCGCCTCAGCAACGGGGGGCAGCACACCATCAGCGTGGCAACCGGCGAGCACATGGACGGAGAAGGAGGGGTTGGAGGAGGGGAGGAGCTGGAGATGAAGTCGCTTCCTGTCCGGAGAGGAAGCACAACCGGAAATAGTGGCAGCGGCGGCAACACGCCCGTTGTCACTCAGGGCATGGGGGCATTGCTGGGGCGACTGAATGGGGGGATGAACTATCCGACCATTCTGCCGTCGTTTGTGTGCAGCTACAGCAGTAAGACGCCACCCCCCCACTCCCAGCAGTGCGGGCACAGTCCAGAGCAGCACCCACCCAACCACCCAACATCTGAACACACAGAGACGCTGAACAAGCTCTACCAGCTCATGGGACAGCACAGTAAGAGGACACACACACACATACACTCGTTACATCCAGATACCACAGACACATGGATGTAGATGATGTAGGCTTCTATGGGACTTTTTTAAATCTGGAGTTTGGGTTTACTGGTTAACAATCTTTTTTTCCACCCAGAAAATTGCAATTCAGGCTACCAAGTGCAGCCTGAGTCTACATAAGGAGTTGTATAACAGCCTGGGTCACATAACAACCAAACGAATAAGCCATCAAACATGCCCTTTGTATGCTTAACTAACTTAATTATCCTGTTAATCTTCTTAGTGGAACAGTAATCATGATTTATTTTTTTATTTTTTGCCACTTCCCTTTACTCTATTTCTGTTTCTAATGTGTTTCACTGTCCTTTAATTCCCCTTGACAATCTGTGCTTGATGCTCTGGATCTCCCTTGGGCTCCATTATGTTTTTGTCGTCACACATTCGTCTACTGTTTTCATCTTAATTTCTTGCTCTTTCTCTTAGCAAATACCTCTGTCCCCTTCCCAAGTTTGACCTAAAGTAGCCTCTGGCTACATCTGCTATATGTGTGTGTGTCTCAAGCAGCACTTAGAGAGTCTTGACAGGAAATCCATGTCTCAAGTGTTACAATCATCAGTGCAGAGAGGTGGATAAAGGGGAGGATTGAGGGAATCAACATGGTGTGGGGCGGGGAGTGGCAGGGTGAGGAAAAGTAGGCAGTGTACAGTAACAAAGAAAAGCACAGGTATACAATGTTATTTAAAAAAATGCGGAAGATGAGAGAAGAAACGAGCAGAGTTAAGAAGAGAGGAATGAATTATGAAAGATTCAGATCCAGAGGGAAAGGCTGGGAGTGGGAGACACAGAGAGAAAAATAAATTAGTTAAAAGAGAGAAATGAGCGGAGGGAGAGGGAGGAAAAAAGGAGATATATACTGGTGGGATGACACGAGGCAGAGAGAGAGAGGAGACAACACAAAACTGCGTTAGGAAAATGAAAACACAGCGTCCGAATGATAAACCTCTGTTCTGTCCTAATAGAGTGAGACTGCCAACAATAACACATACGCACTGTACACAGACGCACGCACATTCACACACTTAATGACTGCTGACACTCCAAACATAATTAAGCGCACATGAATTGGCTCCTTGCTGGAGTGAAGAGTTACTGTGTGACACGTGATAATACAAAAAAGAAATGCTCACAGTTGAAATGATTCCTTCAGAGAGTGAGAGTAACACTTTGCCTCTACTACTAACGTGTGTTGAAGATCACATGTTTCAGATTGACTTTAATGGACCGTGATTTAATAGCTTGCAGTTGACTGAAAGTTACAATGTAAACGAGTACACGTCTGCAGTCGCTGTCAAACATTTCTAGATCTGTAGTTTCTAAATGTTTGCTTTCAATTTTGCCAGATGACTTAATCTCAGCTAAACCGTCTAATGTAATGGGATTTACTGAACAATGTTTTTGGTTTATACACCAGTGTCTTTGGAAATAAAAGTTCAGGGGTCTCAAATCTGTAATCTCGTCCAACCTAATGTAAAATAAGGTACTGATACTGAAACTGTTGGCCAGACAAAAAAATCTATCGAGTCAAAAGAATAAAAGACACAGCGATATTGAGGAGATTAGAAAAGACAATGATGACAGCTTTGATAACCCTTTTTCATAGCTTGATGTATAAGATATAGTTGTAAACAAAATCCTGTGCTGATGAAGCTGCTTTTGAGGTGCTGATGTTTCCAGGAATAAGGTTTTGCTTCTGTTAGTTTTGAGCTAAGCTTTGCAGTTGCTGCATACTGATTTAAAGAGGATGTAGTCAGAGAACAGAGGGTGAGAAGAGTCAGCCAGGAACTCGTACAGTACTGTGGGTGAGCTCACAGTACTCACTGCAGAAACCAGCTTGTTTTGGCTCTCGACTGACATAGGACATCCCTGCAGCGCTGCATGCAAAATTTTGCTTGTGTTACATTTTTCCAGCTTCATCTTTTTGTATTATATCATAATGTCTCACTGTATTTGTTTCTGTCTTTTAATTTAAAAAAAAATTTTTTTTTACACTGATTATGTCATTATCGTGACACCTGTCAGTGGGTGGGATATATCAGGCAGCAGGTGAACATGTTGTCCTCATAGTTGATGTGTTAGAAGCAGGAAAAATGTGCAGTGTGAGGATTTGAGCGACTTTGACTAGGCCCAATTGTGATGACTAGACGACTGGGTCAGAGCATCTCCAAAACTGCAGCTCTTGTGGGCTGTTCCCAGTCTGCAGCGGTCAGTACCTATC